CCCCCCCCCCCATGGCTGGGCCTTAGCAGACATGTCTAGGCCACGCCCCCAGCTGGGCCACGGCCAAGATGTCTAGGTCATGCCGGTGGCTGGGCAACGGCCGAGATGTCTAGGCTACACCCGTGGCTGGGCCACGGAAATAAGGGGTCTCCGCAAAGAGGCCTCCGTGATCCTTAAAAAATCGAAATAAAGTAAGGACGATACCTGTAACACCAGCCCTCGGGAAAACGACCTGTAGCAGGTACCTCCCATTTATGCTAATTGTTGAACTTGCAGGCCATCAGAAGCATGGGCTTTTGTGATGCATGAGTTCTTGTTTTTTTTGCCGTTTGTAACTGCTCTTCACCCCGACCTGCAGTGTGCAGTTATTTGAACTTATTTCCGCAAATTCAGAACTCTGCACCGGTCACAGGCGCAGTTGTCTCATATTATGTCGAGGATGCAAACAACCAGTCGGGCATCTTCAGAGTGGGAAGGCCAATGGACAGAAATGCACCCCAGTGTGAAGGATCCCAATCCCCTTCCTCTTCAGCCTCTTCATCTTTGGGGGCTTGCATGTGAGCAGACGGGTAAGGAAGCTTGGACAGAACAGATTTCCTCCTCTGTAACAGACCGTTCAGCAGGTCGTCCTCATGGGGTGGATATGCTTTCAGGTTGTCATCTACCTGCGCCAAAATACTGGTACTAGTAAAACATGCCTCTCTGTCCTCGTTGTCCTCCACGTCCTTGCTTTCCTCACTGTCCTCCTTGTCCTCACTGTCCTCCGTGTCCTCCTTGTCCTCACTGTCCTCACTGTCCTTGCTGTTGCCGCTCCCAGCATTGCCGCTGTATGAGTCAGCAACAATTTCCAGAAAGAAAGCAATGTTAGGGGGTAAAGAGGAAGGTGAGGAGGTGGTGGTAGTCGTCAATGACCGTCCGGCATACAGCATGCTGAGCATGGCAGAGCGAAGCGAGGAGGACACATCCTTTCCTTCACGAAGAGCGCTGTAAAAGGGGACCATGAATGCGAAAGTAGCATCATCTTCAACTTTCCAAACCGATGAAACCACACAAGGTACTAGCGAAACATAGAACGCCCTTGCGAAGTTCAGAAGCTCATCCGGGTTAGGGCGACCCTTGGAGGAGTCACAGCAGCTTAAGACAACCAGCAGTGTTCTCAAGTCATTGTTGAAGCTCTTGAGAATTTCTTGAGCCGACAGACCTGCAGGATGATAGTTAGGACCTTGGTAAGTCTCATCCTCATGAGATAGAGGGTTGATGTTGGAGAGACCCTGCAGCAGCGCATCCAGATCTGAAGCTCCTTCCCCCTTCTTCAGATCGGAACGGGCGAGCTGCAGCCTCGCCCTCCTGGTGGTTTCGTCCAAAGACCATGGCCAGAACTCTGGACCAGGCTCAGCCGCGGGTGGAGGAGCTCCATCTGCACCTGGTCCGTTAGCAGACTTGTCCATAGTACGCATCATGATGGCATTTTCAGTCTCACCCTTGCTAGTCGGCGAATGACCACCCTCGTCGTTCTGACGAGCAAGTGGCATTATCCCCATCTCCGCACCGTGTATACCTTTCCAATTGGTTATTTCCCTGGGTGAGTCAGTCTGCAGATGCGCTGCAAAGTGAGCGAGAGGAGCCCCGCATGCGAGCGCATCCATCACGCGAGCTTTGGTGGGATGCCTTCCAGTGAGAAGTGTGGCCGTTCCAGGTCGAAGCATGTCATGGATCATTTGCGCCTCCTCTCTGGCATAAGCAATCGCGTTTGCATCAAAGTCCTCGGGCATAACAAAAGGATCACCAACGATGAGGGACTTCCAAGCACTATGCTCCTCCGTTTTTGTTCCTCCACCGACCGCAGCAAGTCCTTCAGAGTTGGATACGGGAATAGACGGATGACACATCATGTTGAGCAGATTTTCACTTCTCTCCTTAAGCAGAGGAAGAAGATGAACACCAGGTACAGTCGCCACCGTGTGACGCTCTATCAGATAGGGCTTCATAGACAGTGATCGTCGTCGAGGGTCACGTAACAAAGGGGGACTCCCCACAGAATATCATGCGGCACTATAATGAGCTTGTCATCCGGGGAAAGGTCCCCAATGCGATTCTCAACAGGTGCAATCAGGAGTAGGTGTAACTTCTCTAGGATGCTCCTGATCATTCGTCGTCGTTCTCGTCTTTCTTGCGCTTCCTTCCTGGCTGTCTTGGCGTTCTTTGAAAAACATGAACCCCTATGCTTCTTCAATCGGCAACCCTTGCTGTGACAGGAACATGGTGCAATGCCATGATCCTCGTCACCCTCCTGTGGTCCGGGTCTTTCTTCTTCTGCATTCCTGGGTTTCTTGATGTGCTTTGAAAGATTGCAACTGGGATGCTGCCATGGGGATCCCTCTCCTTCAGTCCATGATCCCACATCTGGCCGCTGCTGATGACAGCTTGACTCCGAGTAGCGGAATGATCCCTCCGTCTCACCTCCTCTTTCCCACTCCCTCTCTCTCTTTCTCTCACCCTCTCTGCCTCTGTCTCTCTGTCTCTCCAAGTAACTCCATTGTGGCATGGAGTTGGATAAGGAATTTGTACGTCCGTGTTTGTAAGAATCGGATGAAGAAGAAACTGTACGTTGTCCGCTATGTGAGGCCCACAGTGAGGTATCCGACTCCATCAGATCTTTGACCCGGCGCAAATGCACTTCCACCCCTTCCGACCCTTTGTAGCTCAGTGGAGCACACCTCGTCAGACTGGGATCCTTGATAGTCATAGCACAACTCAAACTGCGATCCTCGATGGTCATGACGTAAATCAGAATCCGCTCCGTACCATCATCCGTTTTCCAAAAAACGTACTCGATCAGGGCTGTCCTCGGCCCACACAAGCGGCAACCGGCCATGATCATGCTCAGTGTGGTGGACTTGTCCGATTCGAAATGTCCAGAGAGCAACTTCTTGTATGTTTCTTCTGGCGACCCCCACTCCGATGGAAGTTCAGACCCCCACTCCGATGGAAGTTCACTCGACTTGTTGCTGCATTGGCCAGTGCTGCTGGAAGCAACATCAGCAGCAGCAGCAGCAGTAGCAGCAGCAGCACCACCACTACCAGCACCAGCAGCAGCAGCAGGAGTCCCAGACTTGCCCTGTATAAGGACAGTGGAGAGAAACCTGTGGCGTGACCACTCGTTCCAGATCAGTGCATCGCCAACTCTTAGGTGATTTAAGAACTCTAACTGCAGATGACGAAATACATCTGCTTCCATCTCTCCATACCGTGACAGACAGGCGTCAGAGAGACTACATGTATCAGTCTGCTGCTCTTGGAACCAAGTCATGGCCACCACTCTCGACTGCACAGCAGCTTCTCTTTCTCCTTCCTGGTCGTGAAGACCTGCAAGAAGGTGCAGTGCGTCATCATCCTTCCAGATAGTGGCCGACGCCATCAAATTCGTCACCACCCTCGTCGGTAGCTTCTCTCCCTTCCACCTCAGAAGACCTGCTTCAAAAATCGCAATGAGTTCGTGAATGGAACTGCAGTCCTGGCCTCGACGCCCCATCTCCTCCGCCTTCTCCATCGCCGTGTCCATCAGCTCTTCCAAGTCTTCCGGACCTGGGATGGGAGGATGCCCTTCCATCTCGTTCTTTAAGCGCACCACAGCTTCACGCATCAACAAAGTTGCCTCTCGTTCTAAGGTGAGAATGCGCAGCTTGTGGTAGGCTTCTCTGCAATTCCTGTAGAACTTGAGACTATCTCGCAGACTCTGTTCGTCTGTGTCTGCGGACACACTCCCATGGTGGAAGACCAACATACCGAGAATCTTGTTGCGTTCTGCCCACAGGAGACCAGTGACCTCCAACGGGTACCAAGTGGAAGGGTCGCCAAACTGATGGGAAATGTAGTTGAAAAGTCTCAATGCGTTCTGCAGTTCCAGCGTCCCCCTGTCGACGAGCTCAAGGCTGTAGAGACGCATAGCGACGTTGCAGACTAACCCTAGCTCAGTCAGCAAAGCCTCCAGGCAGGGGGGATTGACATCAGCGAGTTTCCTGGCAATCTTCAACTGCGGACTCTGGAACCTCAGGGAATCGACTAGGCCAGGCAATATTCGCATGGGCAGTCGATGGGCCACGTCTTCCATCTTGGCATACACCTGCATACCCCATTTATGATACCCCTTTACGTTACAGAAGCAGATGACTCTGATGAGAAGCGTCAAACACCTTTCGATCGTCCATTCGCCAGTCTGTGTCTCATGGATGCCAAGTTGATTGCCTACCAACGCCAGATCCTGAAACCCCAGGAACACCTCCTCTTGCAGACCCAGCCGCTCAGCCTCAGCAATTCGTTCCTCGACAGTTTGCAGAGCCTTCAGCAAAAGGTCTACTTTGTTGAACTTCATGCAGACCTCCAACACGTGACTGGTACAGGTGAGCTCCATAGCCTTGCAGATTCCAAAGAGCCGCTGCTTCTGCTGACGGGCGTTTGACTTATCTCTCATCACCAGCAGCTCTCCTCTATTTTTGGCATCGTGTGGACGCTGAAGAAGGTCCACTTCGGACTCCAAGGGCTGCTGAATAAGGTCTGACTCCGAGTCAGACTGGAACGAGGATGAGAGTCGTTGCCAGATCAGGACTGAGGTTCTGAGCGGCAGACCTCTGGCATCGGGGTGAGGACTGTCATACCCATCAAGCATGTCCCTTTCGTCCTCAGAGTCTAGCTCGCCCTCGCGGCTATGGCAAAGGAAGTGTATGTCTAGCAGTGCGACCGCTCTTAGGGGAAGAAGATAGAGTTCCCTCCCGCCGGCCTCGTCGGTGAGGCGTACGAGTGTCCGCAGTGCGCTCATTCTGCCTGACGGCGCATAAGGCTGTCTGTACCTCTCAACAAAGCACTCACAAAATGCTGCTTCTACTTCGTTGAACGACGAAGAAGGCAACAGAATCCGCTCGAGCGAAACCGGTGATGGAAACACAATGCGCTTCTCCCATGGCTTGGGCTCAAACACGCCCCTCCATTGCTCTGTGAGAAACAACGCCGCGTGCAGCGCCTCGCCGTTCCCGCCGACCCTCCAGGACGCGATCGCGTCCTGCACAACCTGAACGGCGGTCCCGATCCCGATCTCCCCTTCGGTTATTTTCTGCCTCACCAGCTCGATGACGTCTATCAAGTTCGACACCTCGCCATAGCTTTCCTGTTGAGTCTCTTGGCCGGGACCCGACCCGAAGCCCTCGACATCGGACTTCTTCTGGCTCACGCTGACGTCGTTGATGGCCGCTCTGCAAGTTCCATGCGTCGAGGGATTGACCCCATACAAGCTGCCGCTGCTGCTGCTGCTACTGCTGCAGTGACAATCAGAGGACAAGTCCTTGTTGAGCTCCTTGCAATGACCTTTCGCCCTCGCCATGACTCTAGTACAGGCCTTGTGAAGAAAAAAAAAGGACCAAAAAGAAGGCGTTGTAAAGATACTTAGCAGAGGGGAGTGGAGGGAGGCTTGTGGGGGAAAGGGGGCGGTGTTAAAGGAAGGAAGGGGGAGGCAGGAGGGGCGAGCGGGCGGAGCTATTAATAGCCGGAGTTGAATTCAAGCTTTCGTAGGTGGGCCCCTCTTCTCTGGGCAGAGCAGTATAAGTGCAGGTGAGGTTGTAGGGCTTAAAATGGGTAATTGTTGAAATAGTCGTGAAAATCGACCACTTATCCAAAAAAAATAAAAAATAAAAAATCAACCACTTAGCGTAGAAGTCGAACGATGAGAGCCACCAAGTTTAGGCCATAGTCGTCACCACAGTACTGATCTCCTTGATGAATCTATCCCCAAACGCGCCCAGATTCGTTCGAAATAGTCCACGTGAGAGTATGATTACAAACCCTAACTGAGATGGTCACCGCGTTTCACTTGCATCAGTCTCAATGATTGGAACTCGCCTCAAGGCTCAAGCTGACAAAGTGGCATGTCATTAGACCCATTACCATCAGCTGCTTGTTCCGATGGGTAAAACTAAATGGATATGTCGAATAAAAGGAAGGGAGAGAGAAAAGGAAGAAAAACAATAATATTAATTTTGATAACGATGCTGCCACCGTCATCGCCTAACAACCGTTTCCTAGAAGTGAGGGCTGGCGAAGTGAGGTCGCTACTGTAAAGCAATAATGATAAGAGATTCAAAAAAGCATGTTCACAGTAGAATTAAGCATGTTCACAGTAGAATTAAGCATGTTCACACTAGAGAGAGAGAGAGAGAGAGAGAGAGAGAGAGAGAGAGAGAGAGAGAGAGAGAGACACCCCCCCCCCCCCCCGAACTGAGACTTACATGGTCACTTACACACACACACACACACACACACACACACACACACACACACACACACACCCCCCCCCCCCCCCTCTCTCTCTCTCTCTCACACACACACACACACACAACCCCCCCCGGGTTCGTTCTGTCCAGACCCTCCCCCCGCCTCCCACCCCGTCTACATGCTCGCCTCGCCCAGAGGCGACTTGGCAGATCCGAGAATGGCTCAAGTACTTCAGAAATTTTATCCTATTTCCTTTTTACTGTAGCAACGGGTGATAAACCAAAGCCTGGGTGAGTGGTGCACGCAGCGTAACTCTCGCTCAACAGCGCGGGAAGGCCGTTGGTGCATCATAGGGGGCAATAGGCCAGAATGGCTTCTGCTCTTGAGTGCGCAAATCGAGGAGGGAGGAAAGAGAACGCCGAGGAAGAGTAATATGAGGAGAAGAAGCTGATCCCTTCCTCTTATATTTGTTTGAAACCGCAGACACAGCGTTCATTCTCATTTTGCACTTTTCAAGAGTGGTGTGGCAAGGCCCGTCGTTTGCGCTCTCCAAAAAATGTCGGGCCTCGTCTGACGAATTGGAGACTGCCGCCTTGGAGAGCGACGAGCCCTCTCGAAAGGTTTTTTCACATCTCCCACGTTCGTGAGTGCTCCCGAACTTTTTTGCATTTTCGGGATAGGTGTGGCGAGGCCGGAGGTCTCTCGAAATAAAAGCTTTGCAGGCGGTGAGTTCGGGAGTGCTCTGGGGAGGCACATTCTGACAGCTCCCGAAGTCAATCTGACAGCTTGAACTCGGGAGCTGGTGTGGCGATGCTGCACTCCCGAAAATGGCTAAGTCGGGAGTAGTGCGGCGAGGCCCTATAAACGGAGAGATCAAGTTTACGAGTTTCGCGACTATTGATATGGGCTTCGGCCACTAAGCTCAAGTCCTCTACTCCCCCCTTTTTTATTTTTTTTATTTTTTTTATTTTTTTTCCCTTCGGAACAGAATACTTGTATTATAACAGGTCAGTTTCCCCCTTTTGTGGTTTCAGTGCCTCGTTACCTTCGTTGTGACGCATGTTGCCCCCTCTTTTCTATTACCACTACTGCCGCCGCCGTCCACGTCCATGGACAGATCTCACTTTCGCAGTCCCCTTGCGAGCTCCTTCACTCCCTCTCCGCCTGGTGTCTTGGTTGTGAATACCGTCGGGCGCGACTGCAACCAGCGCCTCCCTCCTGCCCCTTGTCTTTTTAGAAGCGTGTGCCTTCTTCCTTCTCCTTCTCATATTAGGGCGTTAGTCACACTAGCACTCTCTTAAATGTATTTGAACGCATTTACGGCCGCACCTGGATGCATCTGGCCGCAATTCCTTCCCGAAATAAGTAAAATGTCCTAGTGCGAGGATGCCCTTAGTTGGATTCCTAACTCGCATTTAGGGCGGCACCTGGATGCATCTGGCCGCAATTCCGTCCCAAAATAAGTAAAATGCCCTAGTGTGAGCATGCCCTAATTTTTTTTTTTTTTGAGAAGTTTGCACTTTATATTTTGGTGGTCGAGGCCAGGGTCCCACGACCACTCTTTTTTTTTCTTTTTTTATATATAAAAACGGGCCCAGTGCCCAAGGCTGATATTACCAATAAGAAGATTGAGGTCAGGGTCCTCACAGTCTACCCGGAGTGACCAAACCAAACCTGCTGAGAACGGGGCTCAGCATCCCTCATATAATGATGATGATGATGATGATGATGATGATGATGAATTTCTGCTGATTCTATGTAAACTGTGAGATAATAATAGAGCTTATGATGATGATGATGATGACGCTAATCTATGGTAGTCCAGGAGAAGCTATGAACTATACCAGCAACACCTGTCCTCTCAATGCATAAGCAACTCTTAGCCTCCCCTGTATCAGACACAACACTTTCCAAGGCAATATCTACTTAGCCAAAAACCAGCTATAGCTGTCATGTTCTCCCTGGCAAGACTAAACCCCGGCCCCTTAGGTTTGTCATGACAGTCTCCCCCAGTCCACCACTGGATTGCCTTCCTCCCTCGACGAGTCCCCAGATCTCTCTACCAGGCCTCACGCTCCTGCTACAAACAGGTTACAGGGCTACGCCCCAGCACCGGCCAGCGTTGTTCTGGCATCGGCAAACCAAGAGAAAAAGAACAACATAGCTGTGCCAGGCGTAGGCCAGGCTTCTACCACCTCTAAAATACTGTGTCCAAACTAGAGAGAAACTAAGATATCGCCAGGAAAGAAAAAACAGATGAAAACTGACACTTCCATAGTGTTGGTGATTAGTTTGAAACTACGCACGCTTGTCCTGGATCCTTAAAGACAGCCGTCTGTCTCCCAGTCCAGTACATAGCACTAGCAGTTAAGCTTGGAGAACTATTGAAGAAATCTCCTCCCCCCCCTCACCTTCCCCCTTGTCCCAGCGCTGCCTCCACCGTAGAGAATCGCTGTGATTGCAGGCATTCTCCCTGTTCCTTCAAAGGCATCCAATTCCCACCTAAAGTATGCCTTTGGCAAACCTCTACCCTAATCTGCCCCCGCTATGATATGACGCTGCATTGTACATCTATCCCAGCCCCAGAATAGGGCAATCCCCACACTCTGCCCCCACCCCCTTCGGGGCATTCACCCCCCACCTTGTGAAGCCCCTGCGGAGAAGAGGTGTCCCCCTTTAACACCCAGCCACCATCCTCCAAAAGTGAATCATCAGAGCACACTGGAGGAGAGAAAAGAATGTAGGCTCCCTTAGTAAAGAAAAAAGCACTAGGCATTTAGATTTCCAGATTAAATTCTAGGATGCTAAAATTAGGTGCTAATTAGACAAAAGAAAATAAAAATTTCCTGATAATTGATGGAGAGTAGTGAATACTCGAGTCCATGAAGATGAGGGAAAGCAACGAATTACCGTTGAAATTTCCACCTGAAATTAAGGAGTTGTGAGAAAAAATAAAATAAAAATTGAGAAGTTGAGAACAAATAACTTGGATTTTCAGTTTAGTTTTTTAGGTATTTGAAGAAATACCTTATAAGAAATACCTTATAGATATCTAGGTATCCCGCCCTCTCCCACACCCTTCCCCCACTACCCCCCCTCGTATCCCCATCTCTCCCCATTGCTTCCCCAAAAAAGGAAAGCGGAGCAAAGCAGAGCACCAGAAAGGGAAGTAGAGTCAAAGAGTGAAGAGAGATTAGCGGACAGAGAAGAAGAAGAGAGGTAAAAAGAAAAACTGAAATGTTGCAACCTACGATGATGCTGATGATGATGATGTCTGACGATGATAATGATGATGATGATGATGATGATGATGATGATGATGAAACATGACGCCGATATTGCTGCTTCAGAAAGAAGATGATGTTGAATATGGCCATGATTGTCACCACACTGCGAGTAGAAAGGCCGTCTCGAAAACCACTCTACGTTCACAGGATAAGAAAACTCCTCAAATTTCCTTGAAGGTCAGTAAAAAAAAGGGTGGCTGAACTAATCGTATCAACACAAGCAATCTCTCCTTTCCTTGAGGCAATAGTAGTCTATGAATCAAATTATCTTCTCTCGCGAATCTCAGGTAACCCCTTCGCTGGACAAAGCCAGCTCATCCCTGTCAAACCAATCGCTGTCTAGAACCTTGCCGACAACTGTCCCAGCCCAGTCCCAGGGAGTAGCTGGGAGTTGCAAAAAACTATTCAGCCTAGCAGCCCCACTATCTCTCCATCCTTAGGTTAAGGACAATAACTCAGATTAAAAAAAAGGATAGCACTGATTCGAGTCCTTTGCCAGTAGGAGTACAAGCCTCGTTGTATCTCTTCTTTCAGTCATGTGTGTCTGAGAGCCATTTGCAGATGGTCATTCGTCCTTCCTTTTTTTTTTCTTTTTTTTTTTTCTTTAAAGAGACAACCCGAGAGGGTGCTAGGGGTGCTGGTAAGAGCAGACACCGCTAGCACTCCCGGGGAGGCTCCATCTATTGGTGGGGAGCATCACCTGCTGGAAACCGGGTCCAGCGTCCCATTTTTTACATATCGTTGGGAATGTCTTATGCTGAGTAAAAAGAAGAAGACTGAAAAAACAACAGTTAGAAAAACTGAGAAAAAAAATTTAGGAAAGAAAGAATGGGCAAAACTGAGCAATTGTCTGAGGTATCTGCCTGTCTGTCTCTGCTCCTTTTCCCCCATAGCAACGGTGCCCTGTCTTCTAAAGCAACAGTCAGGCTCAGTGGCTATCTACTCCATAAGGGTCGAGGGG